TCGTCTTTTGCATAAATCCGAATCTACGAATCATATCAAGCTTAGGGAGCTTCTCAACATTTTCCCAATTTATAGAGATTATAACATTTATTAGTATCTTATCCTGCTTATTGTATAAGGTTGAAATTTAAAAATTGTTCGATTTGACTATGAAATAAAAACTGAGCTTATTCCGATAGCCAAGACAGAAAGAACATTTTGTTGATGGGAAATCTTAGCAAGTTGTTATGGAAGTTGCGCTTAACGCTATAGAGCAGCGGTTCCCAAATTATTTCGTACCATAACCCCCCGGCACTACAAAAATGTAATATCCGGAAAAGAATATGTTACAGACCAAGTAAACAAAAAGACAAATCACAATTTATAGCGTTTTTAATGAGATTGACGATCTTGGTGGTCTTCAGCAAGATTTTTTAATATTTGGTGATATTTCCGCCAGGCACAATCTCAGATCATCCCGTTTACTGATGGAAATGCGATTTCGTTGTTTTGATAGCCATTTCCACCATATAAGAGGACGGAAATAAAAGAATCCAGGGTTCTGTCTCCACAAAAATCGCCGGGTATCGCCTGATGACCTGCTTCAAAATACATCATAACGATCTTCGGTAAAATTCATCTTTGATTCATCATCATGTACCACTACCTCCAGTCCGGTTACCAGTTTATAGAATTAATCAGCCATTTATTTGTTTCAGACTCACGGACTTGATAGTGCGGGAAGACGTAACCGACCATCGGCTATGCTAGAGGTCGGCAACCTTTTGTCGCTCGCGCGGCAATACTAAGGGTTGCAGATTTTGGCAACCACATATTTTTGAAAGTTAAAGCGGAACAGCGAGCGAAGACTGCGACAACTCGTGAACTCAAATTACAAATGGCATTTAATGTGACACTGTTTTGTTGCTGCATCACGCTAGATCACTGAATGAAGCCAAAATTGGAACATTTTCCAAATGGGCATCACTAACCCTAGGTCTCTGCTTGTTCTTTGTAATTTTCGTTTTCGAAAATAATCGTTCGCACCTCCGAACATCGAAGTGAATTTTTCCGCATGGTTTGTCAAATTTTGATGGAGATTTTTTTTAAGAAGATACATTTTTATAAAAATCCAGCAGTGATGCATCTCTCGAATAGAATATGAATTATATTTTCCCATTGCAATTCATCTCAAGGACCTCTGTTTGAATATTTTCTGCGCTATTGAAACCCTGCACTCAGCATCAGTAGCTGTTCACTAAATTGTTGGGCTATAATATAATTTAATCTAAACGTGTCTCACGATAAATTCTGTTGCGTAAAAACATATATATAATCTACTACTCGGTCGTAGATTATAAAATTAATTCATCATCAAAACCGCCGTTGTTTCGCTATAAATCAGGGAAGCGGCCACTTTGGGAATCACTGCTATTGAGCACAAGGCCATATGTGGCAGGTGCAATTGCTGTGTATCAAGGATTTTGATTAGCACGTAGTCAATTCTTTGAAGCCACGGTCCTCATAAGGCATCAATTTAAGTTTGGAAACTTGATAATGCTTTCCAATAATGATTTAGAAACAGAAAATTGTAATCATGGACGATATCATATCTAGGCCGAGCATAACAAATTGGGATATTTTGGATTAAGTCAGTGTTTTTTGCGGCTCTAAGTTTTCTATCAGAAACTTTTTATTTAAGTTGAAGGATTATAAACTTGCTTTATTAGCAAACCTGTATTAAAATTCGGATTCCGCAGATGGAACTTGAGACTTATTTAGTGATATTGTAAGTTTATGCTTTTTCTATATGTTTAGACATCTCGATGGGACGAATTTTTAGACCTACTCCGCTATCGCTGGATGGTTTATGGAACGCATCATTAGTAGTATTTTTTAATCCAGTATGCGTTCCAAGTCTGTGCTTCAGGACTGATTATCTGATCCGACTTGACTTGTTAACGAATGGGCCGTCATTCGCTGTATGATTAAGCCGTTTTACTCGCTTTTGGGATAAATATAAACAAATCCTATCCTACTTTAAACAGCATTTGTTAACTTGCAAATGAAAAACATGGGTCAATTTGCGCTACCATCAACAAAAAGTGTACAAAAATTAGAGTATAGTATATCATTGGTGATTTTGTTCAACCTTTGAGCATGATACCTAAAACAAATTTTAGATTGTCGTTGTATTCCTCCAAGAATAGTTAAAGCAAGAAATATTAAAATACGATCGTACAAGAAATTAGAAGAAAAAAAAAACTACAAAAAATACCGTCAAACATTTATCTGCTTGTAGGTAAAACATACAGATAAATAGGGATAGATTATAGGACATAGTTTACCGTTGATTAATAATTTGTTGTAATACAGACAAAAATTATGGCAGTACATCAAAAATTATAACAAGCCATAAAAATGTTTTGAAATGTAGAATAATGCCACAACGAGGCTCGTGAAAAAAATCATTATAAACATCATTAAAAATGAAAGAGACAAACTACATATGAACATAATTCTACCTATGATACATCAACAATAAAGTTCAATCAAAAATTTGGCATTCATACCAAATTAGTGTAAGATTGATATGCAGTATAAAATGCAAATTTTCCGTTGAAAAATTATAGTAAAGACATGTGATCCCCACGAAGTATTATTGTGTATAAAGGACAAAATTAAAATATGTAAATAGGAATATTACGTTGATACGAATTACGAAGTTGTTGATTTTGATCTCCATATTTGCGTACTGCCAGAGTTGCCTAAATACTTGTGACCCAACATATAGATTATGCAGACCAGGGGTGTGCAACATTTTTAGTCGGTGGGCCATATAACCAAATGAAGACATCTAGCTAGGCCACACAAAATGCGAAACGCGGCTATCGCTTAGCCTTACAGTAATAGGGGCATCGGGAAAAACGGCGAAATATTTAACGCAGCGACAAGAGCAGAAAACATGTATTCTTACCCATGTGAACGCCTATTTGAACATAAACTGTTGGATTAGGAATTCATGCTTGGCGGGGGAAATCTGAGTGTTGACAAGGGCCGCACTAAATAGTTTGGCAGGCTAGGTTGTGTCTCGCGGGCCACCTGTTGCACACCCCTAATGTAGACCATGTTTCATCGTTAGGGTTTTTATATAACAAAGCTGAATCGATATAACACCGCGAAAAGCACTCTGTTCAATTTGTAAGGAGGTAGCGGTGTTTTTACACAGTGCTTCTGAGATACAAGCTTCAAGTCGTTTTCTTGTTATACCTTTTAATTTACTAGCTATTTTCAGAATATTAAACTGCTTTTAATATGTCATATTTTACTCAACTTGAGGAGATATTAGTCATTTTGTTGATGAAACTTATAAATATAAAATTTTCTTTCGATCGTTTAAATTGTTTATGATTTTATACAGAATGGTCGGAAGCGAGTTATCGTTTCGTCCGTTCTATTTCATGCACCTTTCACCAATTAAGCGTCACCCGCATACTAGCTAAAAGATCTTTGGTGTAAAAAAATATACCTGAAGTTCAGAGTGATTTTGCATATGGCAAAATACACCGTTGTCATTGGTTCAGTTTTCCCGCTAACCATACAATCACCAAAGTTGAAAAAGGAAAGATTTTTTGAATCCAGTGATTCAGAAAATCATTGTAAACGTGAAGAAAAAGATTTATCAAATCTTTGGTCATTTGAGAACTAAATGAAATAACATTAAAAGGTGATTTACTAAAAAACAATTAAATATAACAAAATAATAAAGAAACCTCTTCTAACGTTCCTTGTCTGATTGTCCATACTTATGACCTAGTACATATAAACAGTACCAAAGAAATTACACAATTATTTTCTCTGTGGGATAAAAATTCCAGAGTACTATAGTATCAGCATGGGTTAAATAAGCACTTGGGGTAGCGAAATGATATAATAGTATTCGTCGAGTCTATTGCCAATAATAAGTACATTTTTTTCGAACATTTTTTAATGTCATTTAGGCGATAAATAAGTCATCTCCTCATGAATATGCCCCGTTCATAATTATGACGTTCCCATGGCGATTTTTGTAACCACATGACCGTAACATTTAAAAGCAACATATTTCATTGCTTAACCCTTATTTGTCCCGTAAATCCACAGGCTGCTTATATAAATAACAGTTGGGTCGATAAGCCCGCAATGGGTTAACGCGACCCGATTTTCGAGTAGTTATATTGTATATGTTATAGTGGTCGGTCATCAAAACATCGACCATAACCATGGATACATTAACCATATTAACGCTTTGTATTGATTTATCAAAAGAAAAGTTCTTTATAGAGCGAACTGGTTTAGGCGCGTCTCAAATAATGTAGCATAATGTTTTCATAGCCATGGATCGAAACTATTATTCAATGTTTGCCTAAAATAACAAGCGCTAATGGACATATTTGTCAATGCCTATTTTTATCGAAACGGCTCTATCAAATATGAAGCTTTTCCCTCATAACTAGAATGTGTCCTATTTACATTATTTCCAAGCCAGGGCACCCGTCTCATAAAGCAACCCGCAAATGACGCACTGTAGCAAATCCGACCATAAGCAAGCACTAAGTACCGCATTCGCGATTGGAGCAAACACAGGCATTTTCAAAACAGATTTTTATACTACGCTCTCGTAATTTCCACGTTTCTGCGGCAACACTACCGTTTTTGACGACATTTTGAGCGTACCACTTGCTCGTTGTTTGCTAACTCAGTCATGGAAACGTCATTTTAACGTCGACGTAGCATTACCACGAGAAGATAAAAATTTTAAGCTCAAAAACAACCTTGCCGCGTTGGTCGAAGTAAAATTCTTATTTTTATAACAGCTTCAAACACTCTTAGTGCAAATGCTTCAATTTTACGACTTATCGTGCCTTATTAAAAAATCCTTTGTAATCCGCTACGCTGATGCTTATCGTAAAAAGTGACGAATACTCGACCCGATTTGGTTCAGAATTTGAATGAGACGCGGCAGGCTTTGCCGAAGATTCATTCGCAACCAAATTTGTTTATGAAATATTCCCAACATATTTAATTTTGCAGTCTACATGTAGACCACAAATGAGGGCATTTCCTACAAATGAAAGAAAGCATAATACTTGAAAATTGCCTTTTTTAATAATAGTAGCTCTGTAAATATCATCACATACCAGTGGCTGATATTTGTACAGGACCTTGTTCGAGGTCGTATAAAAATACCATCGAAATGCGACCAACATTAAGAGGATGATCATTTTTGGTTGATAATGCAGGACCCTGTGAAGTTCGATAACAAAATAAACAGATAAAATAAAACAAAGATATGCGCATGATTACGGGTTATAGAGAAATAATGTATCTTTACAAATATTTGGTTGGTGCTGTTACGCCCGAAACACTCTCTAGTGTTTCTTGACGTGTTCTTTCTCGTCGCAGGGCAAACAGCCTCTGAGTTTCAGCCAAAACCCTTTTTGTCTTTCATGTTAAATATTAGGAAACCGTGAGTGATCCCATTTTATTTTATGGCGAGATAAGGTGGCGCCTCCTCCATCTTTCCCGTAGTTTAGATGAGGCTTGAGATCGGGTGCTGGCGAAGATGAGTTGGACAGGGTGTTGCTTCCAGTCAAGAGAGGAAGTAGATTCTGAAAATAAATTAAAATATAAAAACGTTATTGACTCAGAAGATTAATTAGATTTATGGGAGAGTAATCGTAATCACAGTTAAATACCAATGAAGTAGCATATACACATTTTTAGATGTAGGTAGTATATAGCTCTCACACACGATGGGGAAATTCAATATCTGCTGTCTTTTCTGTCATATACAGCCACTCATTCAATCGAATATTGAAACATTTATGATATTTTTCCTTATGCAACCTGAAGAATCACAATTGCAATGCATATTAAAAAAATAAGCCGTCCATATCATACCGGTAAGCTGGTAGGGCATTAAGGTTTTAAATTGAGAAATTCAGAAGAATCAATTGCCACAAAGTGTTTTTATCTCTATTGAGAAAATAAAGAGAATCAAATGGCACAAAGTGAAGAAAAGAATCCTTTTGATGTGGTTTTAGTTGTTATTAGGACAACATATATTTAAGTCTTCACTTTTCCTATACAATTGAAATACAAATTACAGTAGTTAAATTCGGAAGTATCTCTGAAAATGTTAATTCTTGTATTTTCCCCCAATTTTAAGGGCTTATTGAGACATTTGTTTTAACTTAATTTTTAGCCTTTTTGTGAGTCAACCTCGCATATATGTTTCTCCCATCGATTGCGAAAGAGTGTTTTGAAAACCGGCTGTTTTACCGGGGGTCATAACTTCGAGACCACATATTTATGCGTTGATCGCTCCTCTTAAATACATAATAAATCCAATACCAATTCATTACGATTTCTCGCATAGGATAAGTTTGGGCGAATTAAACTTGACAGCTTCCAACCGCCCATTACCTCACTGAAACGTCATTTGTCAATGGTTCGACTTGGATACATCAAAACAAGCGGGCGTATCCATAGACATTAGGTTGTATAACATTCAATTATGGATAAGAAATATGGTGTATTTATTGAACGCCATTCAAATATTGTATTTGTCGCGCGCACTGATTGGTAATTCATAGGAATACGCCGTTGACAAACGGCAAAATAATGACTTTTTAAACTAAGAAGCACATCTGTGTAGGATGAAAAGAACGTCGTCAAATAAAAGAATCGAATTTACGATGACAATGGACGGTGAAGTCGAGGTCAGCTTGATTTAAACGATGGCAAATAACAGACACAATAAATGTACGGTATTTTTTTAGACACCATGCGAGTTTACTTTTAGGAAAACAGAATTAGCCTGGAGTGAATAGGGTTCAATTATACATCTGACGTTTTTGTAATATCTCTAACGTTATGCTGTAAGCCAAGTACAATAAAAACGCAAAATAAAGCTTTTGTAACTTATGCATTGAAACTTGGGTGAGTTTTACTGTTTATTGGAACAACACGTAAGTGAGATATCACACAATTTATAATCAACAATGCGTCTATAAAAACATAATTTACCAAATAGGGTAGGCCAAAAATAGATATAAATTAGATTTCGATTCATTTCAGCTGTAAATTTTTATCTAGCTGTATTCAGAAGTTTCGTGTTTTATTTTCAAAGACGTTGAAACGTCTGTTTTTGCAAACTGAAAAAAAAAAAAAAAATTTGCGAACCTCGTACCAAACTCACAACATCGAGGGTTCACGATCATAAAAGAACTTTCGAAAATAATCGAGGAAAACAAAAACATATATCTGGTTCACTCAAACACACAAATGAAAAATTGCACAAGAAAATCAAAATTTGCCAGGCACAAATTTTGAGTGAATAAACTAGCAAAGCACAAAAAATTCAATACTCCAAAAAGAAAGCATACAAATTTATAAAACCGGTAAGACTTAATGCCATATTCTGGAATTATTTCAAACCATTGAAACACTGATCGTTCCACCGTTACCCTGTATTTAGAAGAAATCTAGACAATTGATCTATGAAGATGTCCCGGCTTTTTGCCGGAGTAGTTTTAGCCCAAAATAAACCAGCGTGTAAAAAACACATTATTTTTATTGTAGTATGGATCAGTAATGACTAAATGGTTCAAAGAGTGTTATCAAAGACTTATGGTTCGTTGATCCGAGATACTCCACATATTTAAGCCATCACAGATCCGCTTTAATCATATATTCCCATACCAGTATTAAATAAGAGGAGCACAGGTGCTAAAGCACATCAACTGCAATCGTTGTCATCACGCAAAGTAAACAAAAACAACTTCAAAACTCGGCAACAACTACAGCATCCAATGACTTTACCGTTTCATCTCTCCTCTCCGGCCATATTGGCACTCCAATGTACACTTCAAAAATCGAGTACAACGTTCGATGACCAGGCCCTGTTCATTTTACAATATTTTCGGTGATTCAAATTCTTGTTACCTTTTTAACGCACGTTAGTGTTCCCCTTCTAGTTTTTATGAATTACTTTACTCTGAGTAGACGAGGCAAAAAATATGTAAATCTACTACAGGAACATTTAAACTCATTCGTAAACACGACAATGTTTTGCGTCAAACCCAAATTAATAAACCAAGAAAATAAATAAATCAGATCGAGAAGAATTTGTTGGTTTCCGATGTTTTTGTTTGATTTTCAACAACCATTAAACGCTGAGGTTTATTCAATAACCTCCAATGACTTTATAAATTACATCAGAATAGCAATTATTCGTTTATTTATTTGTGTTTCAATAAATATTTCATTCATTGAAATGAAATCGAATAAACAATACAATTTTCAATAAAATTTGTTTGTAGTTCATTTCCAGTTCCACTGAAAGAATAATTTACAAAATTCAAACGAATTGATATCGTAGGGTATATATATAAAGGTTTGTAGTTAGATTCGACTAATCAACAATACGCTCTTTATGGTATTCACAGGCATGTCAACCATTTTATAAACTGGATTCAATTAACTGTTTTTTCTTATTGTCTTTTCTAAAGATTGTGCATATATAGGTTACTTACTATAAGATAACAGTAACCGCATGGAATTAGTTTCGACGGAATCAGAGCAATCCATGTTTTGCCCTATATGCGTTGAAGATCAGCGGCGAATTTCTGTATATATGACAATATATGTTGGCGACTTGGCGAAGAGTATTCTTTGCCATATATGAAGTGCCAATAATTTTTTTAAATTTACTGTGCTGTATTCTAGACTTAGAGCATATGCCACTGAAGCCTCCTATGTACGTAACTGTGGGATTGAGGAGCCAAGTCAAGTGTGTGTGAAAGTGAAGCACCTTGGCAGCCGTTCTTACTAACCGCGCGCGAGTTTGGCTTTAACACTTCACTTTGTGAAAGCGTTCGTCAGTAAGAACACTTGAAAAACGACAACCAATAAAAATGTCGTAGCTATTGTAGGCGAAGAAATCCTAAGCTCTATTGCTTTTCTATTTATAACACATTCTGGCATCATCATAATAGAAATGACAAATTGGAATTTGTGAGTGTCGAAATCGATGCCTACTAAGATTAGTTAAATCCTCAGGTATAAAGTAGTGACCCGGTACAAATGCAGAAATCCATCATATTATAACCAATATCATCTCCGCATATTGGCCGGAATTGTAAAAAATAGTAAAAATTCAATTCAAGTTCTATTTCAATTATTACTAATGAAAATTCGAAGAGATTGAAAGTAACTGCATTGTTATTATAAAGATTTCAAAACCAGCGTCGCCGTTATATTTGACGAAACGTATAAACTTCTTTATTAAGATTCTTTGTATGATTTGCTATCTTTTGATTTATCTTTTTGGGACAGGTTCGATAAACATTAACCCGGATGTCTGATAGTATCGCGAAAATTTTAAAGCTTAAAACATCTACACAGATATAGGACGTGATTTCTGATGAGAAATTTAATATTTTATTCAGTTTTGAGCGAAATCTCCTCATAGATATACATTCGACTATTTGTTGAGGACTGTAGGGTTTTGCGTCGAAGATAAATCAAATCTACCAGTACTACAATGTCGTAATCAGCACCTTTGCACATAGCTCCATTTTTAAATTTGTATGATCGCCGTTGTGCGGACGTTTTCAGCAATATAATTGATATCATGAAGTAACAACGTATTACACAGAACAGAGGGAAATGACGGATAAATCACAAAGTCGTAACAATAGTTCGTTCTTGCGTAACATAGAGATATTTTTAAAATAAATATATTCGGGTCCGAATTTATTTATTTTTATCTTATTCTCAGTCATAATCTTTCACCAGTAGCGAAAGGCAAACATATTTGAGAAATACTTCTTCCTCATCATTTGACAAAATAGCAATATGGTGATAATATCGAATATTTATGACTCGTCCTCTCCTACTGTCTCGCTTTTACGATGGTTTTAAAAATTAACCTCATTTGTCAAACATTATTTACGCGCATATAAACGTTAGCGCGGGAATTGCGGTATAAAAGGAACTGAATAAATATTTAATTGTAATTTAATTGCACCTTTTGTCAACCTTGAGCAATGTTGGTTGAAAGAATATAAATTACGTTTTCCTATGAATGTTACCATGGTATTGCTATGCTATAATAAATTTCATCAGTGAGCGAAACCGCAAAGTATCAAATAGAACGCTTTTACGTGGCTTTTATATGATTTATAAAAACCTAGTGATGTTGTAAAATGTTGGTGTTGGTTAGTATCTGTGCCGAACATATACGAGTTGTTTATAGTTGATATGAATACATGGGGTAAATTCTGTCAGGTCAACAGTTTACACGAAAACATTCAGGATGTATAAACCAGAATTGTTTTATCAATTGCTTCGCGATTCGTATAGTTTTCAAATATTCAATATTTATACTCTCAAATACCGGAGCATCTACAAATAGTCATTTTACAAACGATAGCATCAATTTTGAATTCCAGAAATGATGCCCAATTTTTTAAAACAAAAATAATACTAGCTTAATTTACTTTGCTGTTAATCTAAGTTTTGCGAAATTACAAATTAACCTAGACAAATCAAAGCCTAAATGTACATTTTTGATAGGTGTCCATTTACTCAGCATGTGTTAATGTGCAAATTAATTATCTGTGATTCCGCAACGAGTTATTGACTTGAGATTTACATATTCGAGTACCGATACCGATTAATTCGTAGTGTTGGTCGTTGGTATTAGAAAACCATTTTCGTCACTTATTGCCATGTTAGATAATAGTAGATATACATGTCAGCACTATCACGAGATTAAATATTATTTCATTTTCACAATAGTTGTTTTGGAGGTTCCGCAAATAGAAATCCTCGTCCGTTGACGCGACATCAAGGAAATCTTTGTCAAAATTGTACCGCAAATACCGCAATAAAGGGAGTGTTGATGTATCAATTCTCGGGACAAGCACAGAATAATCGCAATATTTGATAGCATATACTCATATATACTTCGTACCATAATTACGACTACCCACACCTTATCTATTACGAATGGAGCGAATAGATTGCGGTAATGCGCATATTAGATTCAATCAAATTACATTACGGTGTATCACGAACAAGAACTAAATCGCAATGGCAACATTGCTGTCAATATTCACCTTGAATTTAAGGTTCACCTATTTTCGTAGTATAAATGCATGAGTCTTATGGAAAATATCCTAGTTTAAAAAGTAGAATATTGAGCTTTCAGAATTCTGGAACATTGTGTACAGCAAAAGCAGTAGTAATACAAGAAAACGTGTTAGTGTAAAACAAGCCACTGCAAACTCACGGGAAAAAACTCTCTATGTTGTTGTACCCCTTGGTTTCTGCGTCCTTTTCTTCTATGGTGTTGTCTGTGCACATGGTGATGCATCTGTTGTTGCTGCTGTTCCTTCAATGATTCTAGTTCTTCTCTGAAACTATCGAAGTATGTGTGTTCAAGAAGTTCTTCGCAAGTCAGTCGCGCGCTCGGGTCCATTTGCAAACAAGCCTGTGAAAAAATTCAATTGCTTTTATAGAGAATAGTTGCAAAGGTGAAATGTCACAATTAGAAATTTTAGGTTAACTTCTGGCAGTGATCAAACTCCTTGGCGTGAATACTGTTGATTAAACAGGTAATGTCTAAATCGAATAATAATAACAAACTATTTTAACGGAGCGTATATGTGTTGAATATATATAACTTATATGTATAATTCTGAGCTGAACTATAATCGCAAGCTAATAATTGATAAATAAAGAGAATTTTATAAATGTTGTGTAAATAAAGCAAAAATGAGTTTTTTTACTTTGTGTTCAATTGCACAAGTGCTGGTTAAATCGAGAATCAAATGAAATCTGCAAAATTGCAAAAAGATTTTGCCAATTCCGTTTTTTGTTTTCGGTTGTAAGAACACGCAAACTGAAAAAGCGAGCCAATGGTCCAACTTTGTTTGAGTTAATATGATCAATGCGCCAATCGGACTCAATGTGCTCCTGACGTAATATTTGCTACAAAGAACACTTTCTTGCTTCTACTTATAGCTTACCTTCATGAAACTGAGTGCTTGTGCGTTGATGTTTGAAAATCTGTATTCAAGAGGTACCTGTATAATATATAACAAATAAAATGTGTTACATTACAGCCATTGGGCTCGATTTGTAATCAAAATTAATTTATTATTGGATATAGTTTACTATACATCTGCTTATATCAAGGATAGTTTTATTATTTAAACATGTATTTGCTTAGATTAAAATTGTTCAAGCTACAGGTATTTCTGGCCTACTTGTATGTATTATATGGCGCCATTTCGGTCCATCCAAATATACATTTTTCTAAATAGTATGTAAACAAAAACCAGATGACTATAAACGCAAACACTTATGACCACATGCTGCGAGATGGAACGATCGTCATATGTGTGACTCTTTGCCCAGTTGGATTCCTTTAAATACATGAATAATGGACAATCAACATGTCAACTGGAGTGTTTTCTAACTATCCAGTTCATTGTGTGAATCAACTAATGTCATAAATTTGTTTTGGGAAGATTAATTTCGTAAAGAGTAGGTAAATATTACAATCCAAAATTTGACATTATGAAAATGATAAAAGAGGTTTTTGTGAATCGAATGATTAAAATATGATGCTTCTAAGCGAATTCCTTTATATTACTGAGAGCTAGACAATACTTTATTTCTAGTTTTTGTTTACACGGGATTTTAATTTCTACAATAATATCAATCCCACAATTTTTATAAGAGCATTTTCATGGAATCTGTGTAGTTTTGATAGTTGATAACTTCTGTAGGTAGGTAAATACTTAATTAAGATTAGTAGAAAAATGAACAAGCACAATTAAAATGTTCGGTCGCATATCATTAGGAAAATAACACAGTATTTGAATAAATGTATATCTTACTCTAGTATCTGGTTCTGGAATTGTTAATCCGTGGAAAAATTGATTGGTACTGAAAATTTGCTTGTGTCGAGGTATTAGGTCACCTGAAAATTATAATAATTGATTTTATTAATATTATTATATATAGAACAAATTTCGAACATATAAAATAATTATCAATAATGCTTTGAATAGATTGTATATGTTCTTGTCATATAATACAACTTACTTTATTGGACACGGAAGTGTAAAATTTGGTTATTTTGCTAAATTCTTGTTGGATTTTGGAAATAAAAATAGTTTTTTTTTCGCCTCTAATAGACCATTCAGTTTCAAATTCCAAGTATTTGAAATGGAAGTATCGCTAAAAAGCTTTTGTTTATGTTTTGTTTTCAAGTCCATCCGAGTCCTGAAAGACCCCATATTTCCTCGAATATCTTGCTTTTTCATCATCATGTGCTCTCTTGTTAAATCGTTAAAAAAAATTCATAGTCTTGGTATGAATAACAAAACTCAACTAACCAAGTGTTCTTTGGATAAGGTATAACTGATCTACATCTGATTTTCCAGGCCACAATGCCGCTCCGCATAATAATTCAGCAAAAACGCATCCGACAGCCCAAACGTCTACAGGAGGTCCATATTGTGTATCTCCGACTAGCAGTTCGGGTGCTCTGTACCATCTTGTTGCGACATAGTCGGTATAATCGTCACCAGGTCCAGCTGAAAAGGAACGATATTCCATGTAAAAATTGTCAAACAAATGCTTTGGTCACTATGTAAATGGGGTACAACTTGGTCAAATGCCGCGATGTTTTAATGGTAACAAATGTGAGCACTCCATTTACTTATAACAAATATGTTTGTATTTTGGGTAAAAAATCCGTTTGAAAATAAAAAATACAATATCAGTGACTACTCGATTGAGAGGATACTTCACGAAAAATATGGCGATAAAATGAAGTCAGTTTAATATTGAATGCAAAACAAAGCAAAATGGGATGTTATCTGGAATTTTCGATCCGATATGTTAAGTCAAATACCGCGACTTAAAATTTAGCTTAACAATTTTGTGTATTTATAATATTTGATGTAGGCACGACTTTCATTGATGTTTAAAGATACAATTCATCGAATAATGAGTTCAAATATTATAATTCAGCGACCCTTTGTCATGATTAAATACATTTCAGCAGGTAGAAAGTAAATACACGTCAATGGAAGGGAACGAGTACCCGGATCTTAATTTTAAATGTTTTGTATGATTTTCTTTTGTGGAGTTGATTAGGACTCATAAGTAAGTTCTTTCTATGCCAAATATCGTTATCTTAGTTGTAATTGCAGTGGTGCATATATCTCTATATATATTATCTGAAAATTTCATTTTTTTTTCGATATAAATATACAATCAATCTTGGCAAACGAACGGAAACTATTTGCATTGATAGACTACGTATGGGTGGGTGTGTGTGACCATATCTATAATATCGGTAACATATTGAGACATAGCGATTTGAATACAATGCAGTACTGTAGTTAAGGGTGTAAACGCGATAATATAAGAGTATTGGTTGGGTACATTCACCATTCTAGAGAGAACCCAAGCATGCATATGAGGTACCGAAATTGTTACGTCATTATACGCCTTCTTAAATAATCACACTTATATAGCGTTAAAAGAATGGAGTAAAAGGGAATTGGCTTGTCGTTCGTGATATCAAAAACTTCGCAAATGTCCAGATTACTAGTTTTGAAACTGGGCAACGCGAGAAAATATTAATTGACGTGAGATTAAAGGCTCACCCATAGGCGTGCTATAGGCGTGATTTTCATAAGGTTGTCGCCCGTTTGCCGCTTCGCATGTGACATATGATCGCTCAATCGGCATATATCAAAGCAGTGAAACAGAGTCGGAATTTCATTACGTGAATCAAGAAAGAGAATGAAATATAAAATTACCAAGATCGACAATAGGCAGAGTCTCTGCCCTCATTTGCGCCGAACAGTGCTATATCGACAGGGATGCGAACAGTAACCATAACACAGCCCGTAACTAACAATATACTTGGGCGAAATCGATATTGAAATCCGTTAATAGCAAGCTGCCTTAACTATCGTAACCAGTAATGACATATTTCGAACGCCCCGATTCCGAAATGGTAAAATGAAAAATTTATGCATATTTTGATGTATTTCAATCACATGATATACCCTATACAAATTATGCGGGCCGGAAATACTAAAACTAAAACATACAGTTGAATTTTTGAATTTTTTCAATAATATATATTTATGGGATAATGTTGGAATTATATGTAATGAATTTATAATTCTGTAGAATTAAAATGGCGCCTCTATATTGTACTAAAGAGCGGTTTAAATGGAAAATTGCTCTCGAAAATAATTCAAGATCGGGAGATAATCCGAGAAAAGCCAGATCGAAATATTTTGGTAAATTTCACTTATTATTCTTTTTATAACAAAATTAGTGAGGGCAATTTTTATAATATCTGTCCATAGTTGCTATGAAAGGTCACGAAATGCGTCAATGTTTCACGATTTTATTAAAAATACAATGGCTGAGGTCTTAAAATTTTTGAACAAAATTTATACCAGAAATAACTTTTTTAATAATGTGGAATAATATACTGGCAAACCATACATTTTAAAGCTGTGGACAGAACTATACACACAAAAATTTTTTTTATAAAGGGAGGAATAATATACACGCAAACCAAATCATACGTTTAATAGCTGTATACAGCAAAAAAGCAAATTTTTTTAATAGTTCTGACGTTTTTTGATCTTTCTGTTTAGAAATATTAAAACAATTTGACTTGTTTATATTCCGATTCGTTAGTATACATAGCAGCATTAATTCCATGATATAAAACTCGTAAAGTGATGAATGAAAATTATACTTACTCAAAATTCTTGCAAATCCAAAGTCACAAAGCTTAATTACTCCGTGTTTTGTTATCAGTATATTCTCTGGTTTTACATCTCGATGAATGCACTGAATAATAAAATGTAGGTAATTAAATTAATTGATTTGATAGCGTGCAACAAGACTCTTGAATAAAGTACTACATTCATTTTTATTCTTGCCACAGCATCCTTGCGTTACACGCATACGGCTCCACTCCCACAAAGAAATAGAGCAAGGGAAAGGGAGGTTGTCTTGCGTTATCTCAACTGATAATTAATTAAATTGAGTCATTCACTTCAAACGATTTACGATAATCATGTATGCCCTATAAAGTTTATAAAAGACAAGCTTACGTTATGTTGGTGACAGAAATTAACGGCTTGAAGAACTTGCCAAATTATCTTTTTGACTTGTTGCTCTGGAACCCTGAAATATAAAACAATTTTTAATTTGGTTTGTCTATAATCGACTAAAATTGAAATTAGCAGTTATACTCGCAGAAACTGAGACTCTTCTTGGGGGCGGATATGTGATCAATTTTGGATACGCTACCCTCTTGGGACAGTCTTAGATAAACTGGGATTCTTTTTTTGCTTTTGTACGCGTTACGCTTCCAAAATACGTTAATGTTATTTTGAGAACACCAATTAGGGTATGATGAATAATTTTAAATCTGAGAACCATTCATTATGACCAGTATAGAAACTCACGGGTATAATGTATCTGAGATTAAAATAGTATTTCCGTTCTAAAATGAGACATATCAAATTTCAAAGTGGGATTTAATATACAAACAACAATGCTTATCAAAATAAAAATACATTTACATTCAATGGTCATATACATTTTTGTCATATCGCTCTTCTTTGTCGCACATTGTAATTTGGAATGATTTCATAATTCTTAAGTGATAGAGCACTTCATGGTGGAAATGTATACGAAATGTCAACTCGTGTTGTTAGACCAATATCAGCCAATCCTATATACTAAGGCGAAATCAACATATATAGAGTGTCTATGAAATCTTAAAATTTTTTAAAATTGCAAAAGGAATTTATCAACACCATATATTGTTCTGGCTCTCACAGATGTATTAAATGAGATAAAAATACTTAAACAATTTCTGATTAAAAACAACGAACCTGCAGGTTAAGATATATTGAGAACTGGCTTCATAACAAAATTCAAATTGTAAAGAGAGTTTATGGCCACCCAGAAGAATTCGCCCAATATATAAACATAAAATATATTTCTTACCCTCTTGTGTTTCTGTCGAGCTCGTTCAGTACGGTATGGTCGCAATATTCAAAGACAAGATGAAGTTTGCGTTTTCTTCGAAATACTTCAATCAAATTAACGAGGTTGTTATGTTTCAGTTGCTGTAATAAAAATATGCGACTGTTTTTATTTTTATCTAATTCTTTCGACAGTATATAACTAAACATTACAATTTACACTCGTTTCCAATCTGATTATAAAGTTACAATTATTACGACAAAAGTTCTAAATATTGGGAGTTATAATTAGGCGTGTTGAATGCAATATGTGACCAACACACGTTGCAACACAAAACCAATTCTATATCAAGAAGTTGTCAATTTTTGATTCTGTCGCTGCCATATGGTTAAAGGTGAAAAATTCGCAATTCAATAATTTTTCTTTATTTCCGATATTTGAAATTTTTATGCAAGTGGAATCAGGATTGATGTCATACTTTCGAAATAAATGACGATGTGCATTCATAAAAGGAATGTCTATTGATGGAAGTAATTTCGTTTGAAACCTAAACTACTCGGACTTCGCTACACGTACCCATCGGATTTTAAAAATATATACTCTGAAGCTTATTGCTACAACTTAATATTATCAAGCTTAGGAATACCAATGCTTGATAAACAAACATCTCTTCATATCTATAAAATCATTGTCTTCAAACAAAAGGCTTACGGCAGGCCATAGTTTCCGACGTATTGTTACAGGGTTATTGTGTTTAAATTGTGTTTTAAGAATTTCATAACGTTCTCGACAATTCTTTGAATATACCTAGGTGGGCCGGCATTGCGGACTCAGATTGTGTTTACGACTCGACCAGCACAGCGAGTAATCAGCATTCTGATATGAATCAAGAAAGTATAACACATATATACGAAATAACCAAAAGTTTTAAAACTTAAGTTTCGTGATGTTCTTTATGGCAATTCAAACCAACTCGCCATATTATAGTTACAATATCACGAGATCATATCATAATATTTCTAATATGGAATTAAATTTTTTTTTTTTTTAAAGTAATACTTTGTTCTGGTTATTAGTATTAGAATATTTTCAATACAGTAAATTCGATTTTCGTACTTGTGGATGGGTGGAAAATCAATATTTTTTAATTCTTTATTTTTTTTTTATGCAAGCATGTACCCCATAGATCCAAATTATTTACAAAATTTCTGTCAGTACCCCATAAACTTAACTATGGGTTTCATTTTCTTTTCTGAAGTCATTGATCATGCTTTCACCTTTGTTTTTATCATTCACGTATCGCCTTCATCGTTGATTATAGAGTGGACATACTTACTTTTGCGTCGGGAGTCGAGTTTAATTAAATTTATAAAACCATTCAGGAAATTTGCCGGAGAATTCTGGAATATGAAACATAATACACTCGGAAGTATGAATTGAAAAAAAAAACTGTTACCTTTAGCATCCTAATCTCTCGCAAAGCAATCTTCTTTATGAGAGGATCATCTTCGGATTCGACGAATTTCTTTATTGCAACGATTTGTCCAGTATCACGATTCCTACATTTGAAAACTACGCCATAAGACCCTTCTCCAATTTTACTCAGTTTCTCGTATTTTTCCATACTTTTCGATCTAGCCGGAGGTTCGTTGTCGCACCAAATGCCCATAGGCCTTATAGTTTTCTTCACCGCAAGAGAAAAAATGTTTTACAAAAGTACAATTCTGCAATAAAATAGGAAGGCTATATCAAATACCAGTACCAGTAATTTAATCGATGTTTGGTAAATTTCTTGAAATTTAACGACTAAAACAATATTTTATGCGATAAATTGAATGACAAGACTGTTTAATAAAAGGCATTCCACTCAAAGAAATACACATATTAAATTTGGCGGCTGACTAGCCTTAACTGCAATAATTCCCTCAACAGCGAAGCGATTCGGTATTCAATCCATCAGCACAGCCAGTTTTTACCTCCGTAGAATGTACGTTTTCATTAAATTGGCAAAAAAACGTAATTTCGAATTAGCGGAATACTTAAAACGGAGTTAAAGACAGAGGTATTCAGTCAAATATTCCTCACAACATTGACAATATCAGTTGTACTATCGAATCACATTGAACGAACAATGTAATGCACAACGTAGTTCAATATACCGATATATTTACATATCTCAATTCGCCGCGCTTGCGTCAAGCTATTAAATTACTGTTGTAGATTATTCTCATTTCTCAAGTTGTAAAATTTCATCACCATAACCAACGATTATTGCTCGTTTCAAATTGTGAATATAATTGGCCGCCCAGTTACCACTTAGTCGAAATCGAACGATATCGGACACCGTTTTGCTCAGCACAAACAAATGTATATAAAGTGCTTTTAGATTACAAAAATATTATCCATTTTTTGGGGAATGAACGACTGCCACATACAAATGAACATCTTCCCCGATAGACGGGCCCTTTTTATACATGAAGCTATCCGGTGGATTAATCAGGAATTTGGACCGGCTTAACCCTTAATTTAACAACGCAATATATTTCCCTCCTAACAAAAAAAAATTGCTATTGGCGCCTGAGTAATTGACAGTTTGGACATAGTTTTCAACCTATCACGATTTAAACAATTGTCCCTATGTTACATATTCATTCGATTTTAGAGTTTATATATACGGTAATAAAATTTTGATGATCGTTATATGCGTTGACAACCTTTCAAAATTGGCTTAGCCCTATTATCATTGTTGCACATATTTCGATAATATTATGATCATCACCACGAAGAAATACGAATTTACTAATTATGACCTTGAGTCGTTCAATTTTAAAGGTGTGCTGGACAATGGCAGTAGATGTTGGGCAGTATCAACAGTTCACAAATTGCTTCAAAATTCTATTTCCACTCAATATCAGACAAAGTGACGCATCTTTATTTCATTTTAGGGAGTGTACATGAATAATGTAACAAGTATTTGGCGCCTTACGACAATAGTAGTTTCTATACATAGTAGTCGCCAGTACTGACGTCATATTATTGCGGTATTTTGCCCTGAAACGGCAAGAAACTAAGATGTTGTAAATCGGCTTATTGCGACTGGAGGCATAGTAGACGGGAGACGAGAAAATAAATTTCCTGACAAGCACACAGGAGTAAAATAGGCTTTCAATCACCGTCTTGACATTTATTAAATCTTTGTTACCATACGGCGAGATTTATATGCTTTTAGTCGTTATATTGGTTCCGCTGTGAGGATTGACATAGAAAATGGCTAAGCGCTACGCTGCGAATTATTGGTTTCCCGGCGAGGATTGACATAATAATGCCTATGCGCTACGTAGTTATCTGAGGGGAAGTGTTGATAGAAGTTACAAGCACCATTTGTGGCAAATACCGTTCGATTCGGTATGAATTCAATTTATCCAACTATTATTTAATTATTTGCCTCGGTATTCACGTACAAAAAGTACTTCACACGCCATAATTACATTGTGGAGTACTTCACGCTGTGAGCGCAATGAGTTTGAAATATGTGTTACTTCTACGTGATAGACATAGTGAATGTTCTGTAGCAACATTTACAAATAAATGACCCATCAATAATTTCACTTAGTATGCTACCTCAAACAGATAACCCAAATCTGTTTAGTAGACTAGCTATTTCAATCCAAGAGTATGTGTATACCTGTATACGGGAACATTGCAAAGTGCGAGCCTTCATATCGATTATTTCAAACGGGATTCAAACCAA